TTCCTTTCTCTCCCCCGTTTTTCTCTCTCTAAGCCTACCTTCCCTTCTCTCTGCAAACTTGGTTCTTATTAATGAATTTACAAAGTCAAAACAAATATTCGCCTCTCTCTCTCTCTCTGTCTCTCTTTCTCTCCTTTTCTCTCTCTCTAAGCCTACCTTCCCTTCTCTCTGCAAACTGAGTTTTCCTTCTCCTTCTCTCAGCATTTTCTGAAGGAGCTTGAGAACCCATTTTGTCGGGTCTTTCTCTTAAGGGAGATGGTGGCATTGGAGCATGAGGAAGTGAGTCTTTTCTTGGGAGGAAATTTCTTGGAAGGAAAGGGGTGGTTGGTTGACGATTTGGTGGAGAGAAAAGAAATTGGAGATTGAGATGTGTGGGTTCTTTGTAGCAGCAGAACCACACAGGCTAGTGAAGATTCTAAGTAAATGACAAAGAGAGACCCATTATAAATTCGGCAAGTGAACAATCAATGATAGGATTGGTCTCTCTCTCTCTCTCTCATACACACAAACACAAACACAAATGCATACGCGCTCACATATCGAGCTGAAGATTATATCCCTGCTCAATAGATTAAATGTAAACATTTACATTTATTGTCAGTATTCAACATACTACAAGAAGCTAAAGTCCAACGGCTTAGGGCTGGCCGCCTAGAGTTTTTTGAAACATTGATAGGCAGTTTGATAAATCCACCAAACTACCCCCCCCTCCCTCCTCCCCCACACATTCACCTACACCCACACATATGGGCCTTGATGCACCTAATATGGTGCATTCCCAATCTCTACACCATCCATTTAATTTGGACAATGCAAATCTGTCTCGAACCTCAAGACAAGAAGAGGGCGTAGAATGATCTGCATTGTCTAATACAATTGGATGACGAAGATGTCAAGGTTCGCATAACAAGCCAGCCTTGATGCACAAAACGCTTTTTCTTGTGAGTATATGTTATGTTGTTTTCTGATAGGGTGAGACAGTGGTCCGACCTGGTGACAAGCTGGGTTTGGATCAAATTACAAACACTTTTTCTTTTTTCTTAAATTTTATCAACTTTGGAAATTTTGTCATAGTTTTTCCGGGTTAACTCTTTAGTTGTGTGTTAACCTGGAATTGGCTGTGGCTGAGTCAACCATTGAGTTTGAGTTTCTGAACATTGCTTGTCAAAATCGGTTTATGTGTTTGTTAGTAATATGAATAGAACAACAGAATTTTGTTTGTTAACTATCTTTTTAAGTAGGTTAATAACACTAATTCATGACCCAAATTCTATTATTGTATTAGTACAAGTAACTAGATGAAATAGGTGGACCTTGTCAATTTTACCTTATTAGATGCTCTCTAGCAGCTAGTGAATACATTCTTCCTCTTGCATGATCGAATTCTAGCTTAATCATAATTGGTTGTGTGGTTTACATTGTTCTTGGTTACAGGTGCAACAATGTTCTCTACCTAAGAGGTGTACCAGAGGATGAAGAAGTAGAAGATGCTGATTAAGTTTCAGAATCTGAGTATATTACCAGTCGCCTTTTGAATTTAGCTGTTCCTTTTTGGCTTAACCTTGCATGTATTTTTCTCACTTTATAAAGGAAAAAAAAGAAAGAAGGGAGATGGTTTTTCCTTTCCACAAACTGGTGATTAATGGCTTTATAGTTGCTGCTTAGGGAGAATATTTAGTTAATGCTTTGATTCTTCCCTTTGGTCTGGATGATTTTTTCTGCAATCTTAAGGATTGTATCAAGATAACAGAATTGTGCACTATTAATACATGACAATCTGATTCTGTGTTGGAACTTCTGCTGTCGAATGGATGCCTTCAAAGCACCATGTCCCTTGCTTCAGCTGTTCTTCACGGAGATAATGTACTTAAGTTTATCTATAGAGGAGTTAATGGCAATTTATACCTCTCATAATTTGCTAAAGGTTTGATTTTTTTGTTAAATTGCAGGGAAATCATCTATCAGGATGAAAATTAGAAATTTGTTATTTGTATTGTTTCTTCTTGTTATTCGAGGTGCATTATAAAAAACTGTAGTTGCTAGTGAAGTGCTTATTGAAAGATTGTTTTGACTCTGTAGCTAATTTTTTGCTTTGGAACAGGATAGCTTTTGATGGGCTCTTGATATTTATTGAAGCAGCTTGTTTGTGTATCTGGTATCTGTTTGCTGCATGTATTTGTTCATATATTACTTACTTAAAAGCTGGCTTCAATGGAAGATTGAATCTATTATGCAAGGCAAAGTGAAGGTCCTTTAACCATTGTTGCCGAATGAAACATGTGTTCATATTCAGCAACCACCAATGTGATGTTAATAGAAATGATGGTACCATCTAATCCAACTGTGAATGAAGTATTTGATAGTTTGGTTCCAGTTTATGAAGTAAGAGGGGTTGGGCCTTATTTGCTTCTTGTGGACTGGCCATAATTGCATGAACTAATGGCACTCTTGGAGAATTGAGTAAAAAACAATCTCTAAAAGAACGATAGTAAATGTAACTCTTTAACGGGTGCCCTCTCTTTTTGTTAATCTCTTTAGAGGCAACCATTAGTGGCAAGAGTTGGGAGCGTGGAGCGAGTCGCAACGCTTCAACCACCTTAGACAGATATATTAAATTTTTATTGGTAAGATATAGGTTTGTAATGTGAACAAAGGGTTTGGAATTCTTTCACATAGGAGTTGCTAGTGTTGTTTCGGTGGACTCTAACGGGTAGAGTCTCGCTTTTTACATGAATACTAAATCTTATTTTCTTGCTCTTATTGGCCCTAATGGGACATTTGTTCTTGTCGTGATCGAGTTCTTTCAATAGCGGCACTCAATATTAGAATGGCTTATGCTGCATGGAGCAACCCCATGGGTAGTGAAGTGAGGAGCAACTAACAGGCACTTATTTGCAAGTCTAGATTTTAGGAAGCACAACTATAAATTCTTGTTTCTTTATTCTTGCTATGTAGAATGTATGCATGAGAAAGAAAACATGCTTAGATGTCAAATTTTTGTCGGAGGACTGTGAAGCATAGGAACCACTTTTGTGGTTGGTGATGCATTAGTGTGCAGAAGCACTAGTCCTAGGGGATGAGCAGAGCGTGAAGTTCTCTTGGGAAGTGGATATAATGTTCAACATATAGGAAACGAGAAAGACATCCACTTTGGGCTTGAAACCTAGTTTGCCATCAATTCCTTGGGTGATCTGCATGTCGTGACCCCTTCTTTTTATTCTTGTAAAGATGGATAAGAGTGATTCTTTAATATAACATGTTGAGAAACATGCAAATTTGGTCATCCGTTGTATGACCAACTACATGTCAGGTTCATTACCACAGTTTCTTTTGACCATGTTTAGTTGGGAGAGTAAAAATGAAAGCCATAGATCTTTCAGAAAGTTTAGTTCACATGATTGCCACCTATGGGGCACATCATCTAAGAGCAGATATAAAATGAACCATACATTATTGCTTCTGACCAATAAGTTTTAGGAACATCAGGAACCCGACTTGAAATGGTATTCAAAATTTGAGCAAGCATGGAAAAGGGGGGAGATCATACAAAGTCACCTAAGGGTGCTTGTTTCAGTGTGAGAAAGTGGGACTTATATCCACTGCCAAAAAATCCATAAAAATAAGCCCAAACCTCCCAACCAAGTTTGTGACTTCCTATGCATGGTGGGTAGTTGTATTATCTCAATTGACTATTTTGGACAATTGGTTGGTGGACTCATGGGCTTCCCAATCGCACATCGAAGAGGGATTTGTGGGCTCGTAGGAAGTGAAAGCTAAGAGCCATTCCAATGATGGGACATTGTACTCATTTTGATATATTGGCCATTGTCATGTCTAATCCAGCAATACTGACTGACAATTTTTTAAATATCGAAGACCTTTAGAGATCTCATGCTAACCCAAATTGTCGTAAACTAGTTCCAGTTATGATGTTTAATATTAAAACATGTAATATTTGTTTTAATCTTGAGAAGATAGTTGTACAAGGAAAGGCTTTAAAAGTGTTATTCTTTTTTCTGATGGCTAATTAGGGAAATACGTAGTTGACAGGATGTAAATGAGAAACCTACAGTACTTTGTCGTGCCTTAGTGTTGTTAACTAGTAACCAAATGTTACCTTGACACTCCACCCAAGGTCTGATATCGCATGTCAACAATTGTGGGCGATTTGTGTTGAAACCAATGAACACCAGCGGAATCAAATATATTAAAAGGAAAATTATACAAAGAGACCATTCACTTTTTGTACAAAGAGGTCACAATCACTCTTGTCTATTAGATTTCAAAATGAGTGGTTGTAAGAGTGTCATTGAATAGACTCAAAGTTTCAAAAAAAATTTCTCGGACTTTGTGACTCACTCCAAGGGATCCAATTTGGCATCTAATGGATAGGAATAATTGTAACCTCTTTGTAAAGAAAATAAATGGTCTCTTTGTATACAATCCCATATTAAAATACATTCAAAAGTTCAAGCTTGTGGCTTGAACTTGGGACATGCCAAACAAGAATGTCATAGTCTACCAATCTACAAGCTGCCCATTTGTGTTAAAAGATAGGAAATTTTTATTTATATATTCATTATGAACACTCACACGTTTGTATGGAGGTGTGTTGTTATAACCCCCATTTTCTGAGAAGTACTAGACACTTGAACACATGATACTACGATACTCATGTTGCTGTCTCATTATTTTGATGGATGGTAATGACTGAATGGACTATGATTATCACCATTCCTTTAGATTATGTGATTTTTGTCAAGATAAGCTGGCAAAATATTTTCTTGTATTTTTAGAATGTGTTTTGAGCTGACCATTTAGGCCAACCACCTTGAACTGGCTGGTTCTATTTGATTTAATAGTTAATAATATATGACTCTTTTAGAAATCACCTAATTGGTTTGGAGTTGCGCAAAGCAAGAATGGATCGAGAGGCTGGCAATTCTGGGCTGAAAAATCCCAGTGCCCCAATTCTCACTTTTTCAGTGTTTCCTCAAAATTTCTTGTTTAAAATCCTGGTCCAACACATGGATTACTGAGTCAGACTGTGGGAACTTGGGCTGGGACCCCTGGAGAATCAGAGGCGAGTCCAAATTTTGTAAACACTGTTTACACAGTTCTTTTCTATTTCCAATGGATTAATATGTATGCCCATTATGCTTTCTTATGATACAGAACATAAAATATGTGACAAGTTCCCAGTGATGATGATATATAATAAAAAATATGAAATGTTAGATGTGAAAAAGTTTGAACCCCATGGATCAATTGATGGTGGGGATTATGACGGGGAAAAGTTTCTTGTCTATTCTTGAAAAGCTAGAAAAATGGTTGGAAGGGATTATGAACGGGCAAAGTTTCTTGTCTGTTCCTGAAAAGCTAGAAAATGGTTGGTGCAGAGGCTATTCTATTAGGGGGGGCAAGTAGGGGGTCCTATATCTTTTATCAAATCATAGCACTCTCTCTCTCTCTCTCTCTCTCTCTCGCCCCACCAGGTGGTCTGATAGCCTCTCTCCCTCTCTCTCTCTTATCGCCGATACCTCCTCTCTCTCTCTCTCACACACATGGACACCTTAACCCAGTTTTAGCAGCATTATGCTGTTGCTTTCTTATTTCCTGTACCCTGACTATTGAGTAACTAAACCTTTGAATGACATGGATCACTTATTGTTATCAAAACTACAAAATGCAATCAAAAGCAAACAAGAGCGGTCGCTACTTTAACATGCTCCATCAGGAGTATGCATTGTATCTGCCCTTCTGCACATTTGTCTTTTTAAAATTGAAACCGGTCCGTTTCCAACTTAGAATTGAAAATGACTGGCCACCTGCGTCTTTTTAAAGCATTGTTATAATATATGTGAATTATGAGGGCAACTTTTTTATATTTCTCCTATATAGAACTCATATACTTCTTTTATCCAACCGTCCATTTTGAATAGGCGGTTGAGATGGTTTCAATCACAATGTCACTTTTAGTGGTTGGTATGTTATAGATGAGGGATCATGTAAGAGATCTAGTGTTTGGTATGTTATCGGTGAGGGAACCTGTGGTTCATATGTTGCATTCTCACCGCGGCCCACAATTCCTCCAAAGCAAGTCCGGTTTTACCATGTGGAAGATGTCTAGTGATATATCACGTTGCTTTAAATGCTTGAATTTCCATTTTAACCATAAAAAGGCCCATAAGCTTAAGTTTCATTTTGGCTCCATGATCTCCACTACGAAATATGCAAATTAAGAGGCGCATAAGTTTCCTTATTTGTTTTTCTTTTTTCCCCACTTAGCTCCTCAATTATTTTGTTAGCGAATGCTGCTCTTGTTTGGAATTTGTAACATCGAAAAATGAGGGTAGTTTTAGTAATTTGGTTACATAAGTTTATCATTATCATCGTCAAAGTATTTTTTTAATTAATTGGAGTTGGCTATACGAATTCTGATTTGTTATTCGGCTTTATTAAATGCTATATCCTCAGTGAGGTTATAAATTCGTATATCTTTTCTCACTATTTCCAACCATTTATTGTTAAGCTTAGTTTTTATTTTTTTTTAGCCTTCCATTTGAATTAATTCGCACTGTCTAACAGGTGTTGTATTGGCTTTGTGCCATGCATGATCGGTCCAACTAAGTCTACCTAAATAATTTATTAATTCCAAGCATAGAACAAATTTTTTTGTTTTTTTATCGATTAGAAAATCTTGTTGTTGGCTTAGAATTTAGGAGGAGCATTAAGGATTTACATTTTTTGGCTTGGGTGTCATGTGCTGGCCAAATCATTGAAAAGCCTGGGTTGCTCCATTTCGACAAGATTTTTATTTTAATGAAAGGCTTGTTTAGGTTTGCAAGATTTAAGCAGGCTCAAGCGATTTAAAAGAAATTATAATTAAAAATAATTGTGTTATTGGTAAAATTGTTGATTTTATCATCTTCTTAATTTTCAGGGAGTTACTGTTTTATTATCTTTCCTAATTTGTATAATGTAAACGGCCAAAGTATTACTATGGTGGCATCTTGCTGGAACCATGCTTATATATTAGAGCATGCATGTTGGTTATTGCTACATGCAGGTGCATATGCTAATTTCCATGTATTTGTTCGTTTGTGAATGGATTCATGCATGTGCATGAACTGTTACTTTTATTTACTGTTGTTACTTTTGATTGGTTGCATGATTTGATAGCACAACGTACTTAGAAACAGAATAGATGAGAATAAAACATAAAATATGTTGGAGTTTGTTTCGGGTGAAATGGGGTAAAAAAATGTTACGATTTCAAGCATACGATCTCGATCTCTTCTTGTTTTTGGGCATGTGGGAGTGCAATCTCAAGATGATATT